GATCCGACCGCTAATAGAAAATCTATTTTCTCTATGATCATATTTTATGTTTCATATGCTGTTTGTTGTACACAAAGCAAAACGCATGGTCAGTGTGTTTGTAGGGCAAACCTTTGAGGAAGTCAAACTTCTTATTTATAACCAATCTTCCAAACTTACTTTATAGATGCAGCTGCTGAATTTTGCAATATTCTGCTACTATGCTACTAATACTGTATGTTTCTAGATTTCCTTCTTGCAACCCAGTGCCACATGAAAGCTCCAATTTTATTTAACTTGTAGGTGGGTAAAACGTTAGTCTATGCACAGACAACAAGTAGCATCCTCTTAGGTACCATACAGATCAGACTTAAATCTGCCTTTCTAACACATACAAATGATCTGGAATGCAATACCATTAATAACTTGTCAAAATTCCAGGTGATAGCTAATACTATTTCAGCAACACACAAGCATTTGGACCAGGTACAGTACAATAACTATAACAGTGGTTTTGGTGGTATTTTTGTTGTGTCAATTAAATCAGTGGACATCAACTTACAATTATATAGTACAGTACAGAGTGACCTCATGTGAATATTGTACACAGTTTCTTGTACTGGATCACAATAATATAAAAAAAGGCAAAAAGTGGTATTCAGAATGGTAATGTGTGAAAAGTATCACCTAAAGTGAAAGGGGAAATTAAGAGAATTACAGTATTTAAAAGAAAAAAGTAGATTGCACTAGTTATTGAAAGAGATTTTTTAAATGATACATACTACACTACATTCTCTCATCTTTAGCCTTTTGCCTTTCTTGTGTGTAACAAGATTGTCTTAGTTCTGACGTGACACTATACTAAGAATAAAAGACTAAATGTATTTATAATTTTTAGACGCAATTCTGTTTATTTTTTTTATCCGAAAAACTTTGAAAGTAATTTCCGAGGATGTTGAAGATAATCATATACTGTATGTTTGATAAAGTACTTTTTTAATGCTCTTTAAGACCTTTTTTTTATCTTAAGGTAGCTTTCATAAAAAGTAGCTCCTGATTTCTGGATTTAAAATCATTTAAGTGTAATTTTATCAATAAAAGTCCTGATAGAATATCATTTAAGTAGGTAAAATCAGAAATGTCATACTAGATATTTAGTATATATAAGATCATACTGAATAAAGATGGAAAGATAATGCAATTTAAAAGAACATTCAGAACAAACAGTAAACATACCAAGCCTTTATTCACCAATGATTTAAAAACCAGCACAAAAACATTAATGTCCCTCTGACATAAAAAAACAATAATAACCTCTGCATACATTATCTAACTTACATAAAAATGTGATATAATAATGCTTTGGCCTCTATAACAAGTTTTGGAGCTTAATAGTACAATTTTCTTTGCCACCTACAAGTCTGCTACCTCTTCAGAAATTATTGCACTTGCCTCATCCCAAATATATTTTCGGAAGTAGAATTTGTTAAACCTTCCGAGCCCACTGTGCACTGTTACTTCTGGAATAAAATGATTGCATTGTCTACCCCTAACAGAGAAGCAAATGCTTGGTATCTGAAAAAAAATTAAGGGGGAAGCATGTGGTTGCAAAATTCTATGGTAATTTATACAGTAGCTATAAACTAGTCAGGATTTTTTCAGAGTACATTAGATGGTATTGTATCAGCAAGGTTGTGATTATTATACTTAGAATTAGGTGTTCACAAACATTTTAATCATCTTTCTGTTGAAGAAGTTCAAGTACTGTAGGTAGCTGCGTAGGCTGCAAAGGAACAGATGAAGGTTTATTCCATGCAGAAAGGAAAAGAAGAGACAACATTTCAGCTGTGGAAGCTTCTTCACTTTACCTCCTCTACCAAAGCCTTAAGAATGTGGCTGAAATGGGGATTCTCTGATAAACGGCATGTTCTGACATTTAACACAAACAAGGACTTCAGAAATTAGGTCAATCTAGACACCTTCTGGGGGTGGCACAGCAGCTCCGTGGCTAGAATTGCTGCCTCACAGCACTGGGGCCTTGGGTTCAGTTCCAAACCTAAGGTTCTATCTGTGTTGAGTTTGTTTGTCTGGGTTTCCTCCCTCAGTCTCAAGAAGTACAGTATTAATAGGTTAATTGGGTTCTGGATACAACTGGCCTGGTGTGAGTGTGTACAAGTCTGTGTATGGGTGTGCCCTGCGAAGGACTGGCATGTACTGGATGCTTAAATTATATTAATGTTTTCTTTAATCTGGAAACCTAAGGGAGCTAGATGTACTCCTATATATGTGACAGGAAAGAACTCCTTGTTCAATGGTACTCAATGCTTAATTTCCAGGACTGACAGTACAAACGTTCACAACAAGCCTGCTGAAGAAGATTAGACATAGCTGCAGTAAACCAGCTTTTGTTCCAACTACCCAGGAGTTTTTCTAACTTTCCATAGAATGGCCTGGCTAGCATGTGAATTTGGACGAGTGTAAAATCATTTGTTTATAATCCTTGCAAAGTAAATTATTGTCCCAAACACATTTCATAAAATGTTTACTTGTATTAGAGTGTGTGGATATTGAAGTAATTATATAAAGCTGATTTAAATTGTTGACAATTTAGTCGACAATAATAGTGCAATAGTCAGCATAACATAACCTATGACTAGTATCTTTGTGTTTCCTGAGTGAGAAATCATAACAGATTGGTTAAAATATATTTTTCTCCTTTTGGTTTATTGTGCATACTGTATTTGTTGCTGTATTAATATAATGGCATATGTAATTCAAAGTTGTAAACTTTGAATCTGTGTGCTTAGATTGATTTTTGTAGTGTCCAATTGATTCCTAGTGGCCTTTAAAGCACTCTCACAACTTCAATGTTTCCGAAATGTATTGTTACATTAAAAAGAAATGGCTCCAAGGGAATCCTGTGTATTTCAAAAGATGTCATAGCAGGTATACAGTATACTTATCTATAATACACCTTCTTAGTTTTTGTTCATTGTCTGTTATCTGATTTTTGGATTCAAAACACCATTCTTCTAAGTTTGTAATTTATCCTAATTTCAATTGCAAAGGACAGGAATATGGATTTTTGTGTCTGGCTTAAATTCAGATGGCTGTTCTTTCAGATGAATACCAAGAGAAGGCTAATTAAAAGGATTAAAGACCTGCTTATACTACAGTATGTGGTGTAAAGAACATACTGTAAATGGTAGGGTCAATCCTACTGCAATTTGTTCAGTTTCAGTGGTGAAAAAATCTGAAGATATTTTTAATTTACTATGTTTTTACGTATTGTTAAATTAATGTATTCATAATTGAGGTATCTGATGTACACAGAAAAGATCTCCATAACAAAATATATTGTTTTATAGTATTTTAAATTTTTCTTGGGAATTGATCAATTTGATATTTCATTTTCTAATAAGATGCATATTGAAATAGATATGTAAATGAAGTAAATTGTATGTCTGTCCCAAACGCTTTCAAAATAAATTTGGTCCCCAGACTTTACACAATAGTGCAAATTATATTCAAGTTATATCCCATTTTGGTTCCTTGGGGAACATTAATAACTGACATCCTAGAAGGTTCTTGTGCAAAGCTTTAAAAAGCAAATTAATGAAAGCAAAAGAAACCTGTAATAGCTTTCTGCAGGTAGGAATTAAAGAACATTTTAAATACGGATAATAATCTTTAATCCTAAAAAGGTTAGACCCTAAACCTGCCTTGAAATTGCATGTAGCCTTTCTCATTAAATACACTCTCTCATCATGGATGCTTAAATTATATTAATGTTTTCTTTAATCTGGAATCCTAAGGGAGCTAGATGTACAGTACTCCTATATATGTGATTCCATGAATGAGAAGAATAGCTACCAATTAATGTGATGCTGAGTGTGACATCTGTGGCATACCCAGGGGTGGGGTGCCATAACAGCATCATTAAAATAGAGGGATACAGTATTGTTAAAACACAAATGCACCGGTATGGTTATTTACAGTATAATGACTTTAGATACTAGCCATATTCAGCAAGTAGTAGCTCAGAAAAGTATTGTATATGGAGTAGCAGAATAGAAGTGTGACAGAGAAACAAACTCCGTGAAGTTGGCCCCCATACAAACCGCACAAACAATGAAACCCACGGCATTTGTTAATGCTCTTGAAAGTGCTGAACAGTGTTTGTGCTGCTTTCATTTCTGAGATACAGCATCTTGTTTTTTCGGGGGCGTGACATCACTCATCCTGCCTACAACATCATAGGAGAACTTAACTGGTCTCGGAAACGTAAGCAGCACAAGCGCTACTTTCAATGGCACAAACCAGCACAAATACAGCACTGATGAATGCAGTGAGTATCATCGTTTATGCTGTTTGTAGGGGGCCAACTTCACAGAGCTAGAGAAACACCCTGAAATAGGGCCAGCGCACGTTCATGGCTCTAATAGAGTATACTACCACTCTCAGGCGTCAATGATATCTTGTAAGCCATGGAAACAACCCAATGGACTAAACAGCACCACAATGGGTCAGTGGACTGGATCTTGGACCACAGACTAGGCACCATTGCTTCTTTTATAAGAAAAAGAAACAAATGTTTGCTTTTCCAGAGATGCACAAGTGCTCTGGATAGTAGTAAAGACAGGCAGTGAAAAGCCTTTCCAACCAACATATGTTCCCATTCAGCCAAACACATTGTTGCCACACTGCAGGATCCTTGTGATAAATTTTGCCCCAAGCCTGCAACTGTAAATTTGCCAAATGAAGAATCTGTCAAGGCAGGCCAGCTAGAGGCTGTCACAGTTCACAGAAACTATCACATTCTCTTGCCTGACCTTCTCAAGGAAATGTTGTAGAATCATCAGAGGGAATGATTAGGATATTGCTCAGCAGGTTTAAGTCAAAGTATCATTCAATCAAACCTATAATTTATTTTTGTAAACACAAGGTCATAAAAGGAATGTGATCTTTCAATCAGTTACAGTATGTGATGTGGATCATTCCTGTTTTTTTGGGGACTACAGATGGATACCCAAGCGATGAAATGGTTTACAAGTGGAGAAAAAACTCAGTGGAAGCTGCAGATCAAAAATCCTGGAGACTTTACCAGTTTGATTTTATGGGTTTACGAAACACTACAGACGTAATAAAAACATCATCAGGTAATTATTTATTCATTTATTTATTCCCACAAAACAAGTAAATGAGGTTGCAGTAAAAATATAATGCATGTACATTATACAGTATGATTGTGATTCTAACTTGTGATTGATATTTTTTAGAAGCGTAGTTTGCAATTAAACCTGTCACTTATACCACTTTTCTATGTTTATTGTGGAATAACATAATTAAAACCCAGGTTTAAAGAACATAAACTACAAACCACTATACAGTACCAACATAATAAATGCATGCTCAGTCATCGTTCCTCACCATTCATCTTGAATTTTCCCACAATGGAAATTGTTTGCTCAATTTAATGTTCTCTGGGCTTTAACATGGTGAACCCAGTGCTATAATAATTTGCATGTGACTTATGATTGATTATTGCTATCCCCTCAGAGGTCTGAAGACCATAAGCACATTTCTTTATGTACAGTAGCATTTCTTTGGTTATTTACCATTGACAATCTGCTCACATTGTAACATAAAAACTGCAGGTGAGTTCACTTAGTTTTATTTTATAGACACATCTCTGTAACGAAAGTGTTCTTTCCGGACTCTATGCAAATGACAAAAACCAAGGATGAGTGAGGAAAACATGGGGGAAAAAGCATGGGGTCAGGAATGAAAACAGGGGGCGTGTCCATGGTGCGCAGGTGTTCAGGGGGTCGTGTCCGGGGCAAACAATCCAAAACAGAGTCCAATGGGAAATCCGCGAGAAAGGAAAAAAGTCCAAAGCCAGGCAGTCCATCGGAGATGAGGACAAACAGGATTAAAAACCGGAGCGGGATCCGGTGGAGGGTCAAGGGGGAAAAAGGGGAACGGGAACAGACGCCCAGATCCCGGACTCACTTGGTAAGGTAACCAATGCAGAGCCTGGAACAGAGTGAGCGTCTGGCTTTTAAGGTGGGCTGGAAGGAGGCTGGAACAGGGGACAGATGCACAAAATCAAGTCCGAAGTGAAAGAGCAGGAGCGCCCTTAAGGGGGAGGGACTACAATCGTGACAACCACACCATACAATGTATCAAGAAACATACTTTAGCACTTGTATGTTCAGAAACTAAATTCTGCACTTGGAGAACTGTAGTTCTGAACAATATGAAACTTCAGGAAAGATGGTGACACAAGATTTGATCATAATCATTCCCGATGTTTCACAAGAGCAATATATACCATAATTAAGAGTCTCTTTTGTGCCTGATTCATCTTATGCATGGACCATTCTCTAAAATGTTCATTACCTAATTCTCTTCCAACCTGATTTGCTGCCACCATTGCCAGTGTTGCAAAAGATCTTCATATCTGCTGCTCTGATGATTATGTTTCACACTCAATATCCAGCTTGTTGTCACATTTTCTCTTATAGTATGTTTTGCAACCCACTTCTCAGTCCAAAGTATCTTTGTTGCAAGGTTAGATTTTTGGGGGTTTCTCTTCTCACTGAAAACAGAGGTCTACCGCCACATTTTTTCCACCTATACAATCATTATCCTCATGTATATCCGTTTTTTATAGCTCTCTCACACCCAGGCTCTGGATGATTTCATCTGCACCATCACTCCTGCAACATTCATCTTCCATTACTCCCCCTTCCTGTTGTCAAAGACTGGACTCAAGCTAAACTACGATAATCAAACCACAAACACTGCATTTCTTTTTCTTTTAAATGAAATGCCCCATAGAAAAAAACTGTTTTCACTATATTTTTCTGAGATTACAACAAACAAGTGCTGGTCCTCCATTCCACTTCTGTGCCTGACGATGATGTGATCCACCAATTTGATAATGAAATTCCAATCTGCTGCGGTGTTTTTGCTGGTTCTGCAATCCTTTGGATTCCGTTTGCTCTTTTCTCAATGTCTTTTATTCCACCAGTCCTCTTTTCATGAACAAGAAAGTCCTTGTCATGTCTTGTAACCTGTTTCTTTACGACCTCCATGGGATTTTAACAAAAGCCATATTTTCCACAGACCAATTGTTTGACCATTCTTTTCAGATAGATGCAACTTTTTTCAGTAGCCCATCACGGTACTCCTGACTAGCTCATTAAACAACTTGGATGCATAGATGATTCAACCCAATGTTTTATTTTTACCAGCATCTTCAAATTTCCCTTTACTCTTTTCCAAATTGGTGGGTTGAGGTGACATAACCAACTTTGGTTATTTGGTACAAGCAAAGGTTATTTTATGTAAGTAGGATAAATCTTCACATTGTGTATTAATTTCAATTTACAATTGGCACTATACTAAAAATAACTTTAGTTTCTGACTTTCAAGTACCCTAGGCCCAGATTAAATGAAAACTGTAACTTTATGATCTATTCACAAATTCAAAGTGAGTCTCTAGATGACAGCTTTCTTTTTTGTGAATAAGATTCAGAAGAATGATTAAAGGAGTCAGAAAAGATGTAACTGAAAAACATTGTCCTCTAACCTGCCAATGCCGGTGTTCTGCCACCAAGATACAAACTAAAAAATTCCCAAACAAGAGTCAGGAGGTTGTGACAGATTTACAGTTTTAACAATATATCCAGGTCACCGTGTACCAGGGGTTTTACATTTTTATCCAATGGAAAGTACTGGGCTTAGAACATTGTGATTGATGGGGAAGTTTTGATGTAATCTGGTTCCTCTTTGTTAGGCTAAATTAATCATTCTTATTTTTTTAAATTAACATTTTTCACACAAGCTTATTAGATTGTCTCCATCAAATTTCAAATAATTCCAAATGCTTCAGAAATCTTGAACCAACTCTTCTTACACATGGAAATTGCTTTGACAGTGTTGTCTGATTATATAATGTGATACACTGCACACATTTGTTCAGCAAATTATTTCTGTCTAAAGGAACTGTTTTACTGACAGTAGTTTCCACACCAAACAATTAAACTTGTGTAATAAATAATTATCATATTGATGTTGTATTTTTAAAGACAAAGTTCTTGGTTCTATAAACATATTACTCTGTAAGTAAAGGACAAAAATAATAACAGAGATATGTATTTAATGTATCATAAACTTTATTAAATAAAGTAGAAATCAGTTCCTGTACAAAACTGGCACATTGTCAATCCCATTTTTATTGGCTTGATATCAATTTAAAATATTTTATTAAACCTGAGTGCTGCTTTTCTTTTGTCTATCAATATACAGTATGTCAAGATCGTTATATTGTAAAAAGTAAATTTGCCAAAATATGAAGTAATGCATTTTATATTTGCAAAAGTAGTTCAAGTAGGTAGCAGCATCAGCATGCGTAGGCTGCAAAGGAAAAAGTTAAGGTTTATTCCATTTTGAAAAGAGAAGGAAAGAAATACCCGAAGAAGGCTCCACAGCCGAAATGCTGTGTTTTCTTTCTTCTCTTTTCAGCATGGAATAAACCTTTACTTTTTCCTTATATTAGTAAAGCTGAAAACATTAAATTGTTGGTTAATAAAATGTTATTTATTTCATAAATAATATTTTTTTCAGGATAAATAAGACACTATTTGTAAAGAAAATAAGTCAATCTTTTTTAAAACAAAACTTTAAGTCTATGGATTTTTATCCCCCAGTGTCAAATAAACACTCAGCAATCAGCAGTGTGTTGCTTCTGTCTTCTTTTAGGACTAGGACCCTGGTATGACAGTCACAAAAGATTTGGGCACAGTTTCAGAAAACAAATTGATCTCTTTTTCTTTTCCTTTCATCGATGCCAAAACAACCAATTCTTTTACATTATCTTGACCGGAGATACCAATATGACTAATATTTCTAAATGTGGATTTCATTTTTAAAAAAGTATTGTTTTCAATAAATAATTAACCGAGATAAAGGCAAGCTCACTGTACTGAATATAGTGTGATATACTGTATATACAGTAGCTCACTGTATATAGTAATGAAAATAGCACTAGCAAAATTAGTAAAAACAGTGCTACAGGGCAACAGTTTTGCAATAAATTTGTGTAATATTTTCACTGAAAAGTACAAATACTATTATAATTACTTGGTGGAATTGTTAATTTTGTGCACTACTTGAAGTCTTTTCAGTCTCTTCTGGCTAGCCCCCGGGCTATCTCTGAGGCTTCCAGAGTGAGGACCACTGATCCATGGAATTAATACTGTATGTGACGATCAGCTCAGAACAGCTAAGTTGCCCTGCACACACATTTGCCCTTTATGTACGATTGAGTTTCCACGCAAAATACTCGGCCTAAGATTGTTTCATGTTATTCTACAAATAGAGGAAAATCTGTGAGAGCACTTTGTGAAGGATATTTACTATATTCAGATTACATCAAACAAGATATTATAGCCCTTACTGCAGTGGGATTCACTAGTGCCTATAGGAATGGATCTTCCGTGATTTTCAGTTCAAATGAAAGTGTCACGGACAACAAAATTGCAGGTGCTATAAAGCTGAATAAACTATTAATATGAAGTAAAACCTACAATGAGGAAGCTCAGACCAGTGTTGAACATGCATATTGTTAGTATCTGTTTCATTTACTATGAACACTTTTAATTTCATTTACTATGAACACAAAGTAATTTATTGTAAACTTTGTGCCTAGAATTTTGCTCTACACAGCTGATTGCTGCATTGCAAGAAAGTACAGTACAAGTCTTTCTACAAGATATTAAGAAGCTAGACCATACCCAGTACTGTATAAGCCATACCAGTTAATACAGGTTTTCAAAACTTTTTCTATTTATTTTTTGGCAGATGGGAGTGGCAAAACACATTTTACATGAGCTACATGTAAAAGCTACATGTAAAAACAGTTGGAGGTTTTCAAAATTAACATTAACATTATTTAATTAATAGTAATAACACAACATAACTTAATCAGCACATTGGGTTCACAGAAGTTTCAGGTTTCTAGCAACTGCAATGAAAAACATTTCACTATTGTGAGAACATTGTAAGGCACCTTTGGACACCCAACCTGTTATGAACGAGAAATGCACAGGACATTAGTTTCATAATGCCTATTATAACCCTGCTTGATTAC